CAACAAGTCGGGGAACGCACCAATGATTCCCCACTCCCCTAAATAGATATGAATGTATTGCATGGCAAGAACAAAAAAGTAAAGTGACGCCGTTCTCACGCGTGCCTGTAGGACTCGACCACTGCGCACACGTAGGTCAAATGTAATGCATATGTTCTGTGTCGTGGCGTTGCTATGTTCGCGATGAAATGTTTGCTGTTTAGGGCCTCACCAAGTCAAATTCCCGCACTGCCAGCGCTGATCGATTTCTTCGGGCGAGGCTCATGTGTAATCTAGCTCTTAGAAAAACCATATCATTGTTTCGAAAGTGAGACCCCGACGGTTGGTTTGGGACACTATTGGGAGTTGGGCGGGTTTGGGGGGGGGGGGGAGCTCGAGAAGTTTTTCTTCAAACAAAAGGTGGGCGTTACGCGTTTACAGCACGCTTCCACCATGATTCTTTGGGCGAGGCTCATGTGTAATCTAGCTCTTAGAAAAACCATATCATTGTTTGGGAAGGGAGGCCCCGGCGGTTGGTTTGGGACACTATTGGGAGTTGGGCGGGTTTGGGGGGGGGGGTAACTCGAGAAGTTTTTCTTCAAACAAAAGGTTGGCGTTACACGTTTACAGCACGCTTCCACCATGAGAGCTTAAAAACAAATAAAATAAAATAAATATGTATAAACATATTTTTTGTAGCTCTAAATCATTTTAAGTTGGAATTTTTAAATAAATATAACCTTAAAGACAACTTTTTTTTGTGACGATATGCGCCATTTCGGTTGTATTGGCATCTCTTGTATACTGTTAAAAATATAATTCAAATTATTAATCTCAAAACCTAAATAAAAATTATAAAAATGTTTATATTTATTAACAACTAAAATAGAAGGATTTGCATAAACACAGCTATATATGTGAAAGGCAGTTAAATTTCCACTTGCTAGTCTTCCGTTGTTCTCCTATAAAGTGTAGAATGATGCATAACTTAATTCAGGTATGCTCCAAAATGCATTCCTGCATTTTGAATTTATAAAAAATTTCACCAGACACCTCCCCCCCCCCTTTTTCACTCGGGATTCTTTGCTTGGCACCCTCGATTTCTGTTCCCCCTCCCAGTCAATTTAGGGGACAGTGACCGGCACCTTTTTATCAAATTCCATCCAGTGATATTTATTGTTACATTCTTGGGAGCTGTTTACATGGCAAAATAGCGTAAGAATGATAGGTCTACATTTAAAAAAAAAATGTTAAGTCTTTTTTAACGCCAGAATCAACGTACTTTTGAAAAAGCGGTGAGAATGGTGCACTGTCCCAAGAGAATAATAATCGATTATCAACTTTACTGCACGCTTTTACTTTATTGATCTTCCTGTCAAGTACTGGTTCTCAGACAGTGGAACGTGTGATTATTAGGTTAGAGGCCTACACACTGGCATAATTATTTAGCTGTATAGTGACACCATTTATGAAGGAAAATTATATATGACGTTATTTCAGTTCTGACCATGTCTCAAATATTTACACTGTACATACAATTCTTTAGCCTCTAACTCAAAGCGAACTGAACCGGCTACCGGTACGCTTTTTCCCGATGCGAAGTGACAATACATTGCTGCTGACAAGTAGTTAGTGGTGAGATCTCACTTGTCAGTTAGTTGAGCCATTCTGCACCCAAACGGCTTTAAACAGTGTATATCATTAATGCCGGCGTAGCTTTCCTGCAGCCATTAGGGTTCTCCTGTCATTTTAACGACGAGCCAACAGCACACCGTTGGCTTTATACCATAACAAACCAACACATTTTCCAAAATGTTAGTACCGGTACAGTTAAGTACACCCATTTCTTTCTGACCAACAGTCATTAATAGAGACGTGTTCAAATTTATTTCGTTTTTTTTAAAGCATAGCTAAGCTAAGCTATTAGCTTCACACTGCAGCATGGGGATTTACAGTAGAGACCGACCGAATTTCGGCTTCGGCTTCGGTTTCGGCGCCGAAAGTGGCCATTTTATCACTTTCGGCCAAGTTTCGGTTTCGGCCGAAACTGAAAAGTTAACTTTCGGCTTTATTTCGGTTTCGGCCGAAAGAGAAAAGTTAACTTTCGGTTTTTCTTCGGTTTCGGCCGAAATTGACTTAGACTTTCGGCCACCGGCCGAAAGTAACTCTAGTTTTTGGTCATTTAATACTCAGCGAAAGCGATATTTAACAACACATTAAGCGTCATTTAAGAACAAATTAAGCGATCGTTGAGAACAAACTAAACGATATTTAACAACAAACTAAGGGACATTTAAGAGCAAACTAAACGATCTTTAAAACAAACTAAGCGATCTTTAAGA